TAATAAAGGCCATGTATGACAAACCCACAGCCAACATCATACTTAACAGTGAAAACTTAAAGCTTTTCCTCTAAGATTGGGAACAAGACAAGGATGCCCACTCTCTCCACCTTTATTCAACATAGTTCTGGAGGTCCTAGCCATGGCAATCAGACAATACAAAGAAATAAAAGGCATCCAGATTAGTAAGGAAGAAGTTAAACTGTCCCTGTTTGCAGATGACATGATATTGTACATACAACATCCTAAAGAATCCACCCCAAAATGACTAGAATATCTGAATTCAGCAAAATTGCAGGATACAAAATTAATAAACAGCAATCTGTTGCATTCCTATACACTAACGATGAATTAGAAGAAAAAGAAATCAGGAAAACAATTCCATTCACAAGTGCATCAAACCAAGGAATAAACCTAACTGAGGTAGTGAAAAGCCTATACCCTGAAAATTACAGGACACTCTTGAGAGAAATTAAAGAAGACACCAATAAATGGAAATGCATCCCATGCTCTTGTGTAGGAAGAATTAATATTGTCAAAATTGCCCTCCTGCCTAAAGTAATCTACAGATTCAGTGCAATTCTTATCAAAATTCCAACAGTATTCTTCAATGAACTAGAATAGTTCTATATGGAACCACAAGAATCCAAATAGCCAAAGCAATCCTGAGAAGAATAAAGCTGGGAGGATTACACTCCCCAACTTCAAGTTCTACTATAAAGCCACAGTAATCAAGAGAATTTGGTACTGACACAAGAACAGAGCCATAGATCAATGGAACAGAATAGAGAGCCCAGATATAAACTGACACATATATGGCCAATTAATATATGATAAAGGAGCCATGGACATACAACGGGGAAATGACTGCCTCTTCAACAAATGGTGTTGGCAAAACTGCATAGCTACATGTAAAGGAATGAAACTGGATTACTTGTCTTACTCCACAGACAAAAGTAAACTCGAAATGGATCAAAGACTTGAATGTAAGTCATGAAACTGTAAAACTCTTATTAGAAGAAAACATAGGCAAAAATCTCTTGAATATAATCATTAGCAACTTTTCCCTGAACACATTTCCTTGGGCAAAGGAAACAAAAACAAAAATGAGGAAGTGGGACTACATCAAATTAAAAAGTTTCTGTACAGCAAAGGAAACCAACAGTAGAACAAAAAGGCATCCTACAGGATGACAGAATATATTTGTAAATGACATATCCAACATTTGGACAAATAACACCCAAAATATATAAAGAACTCACATTCCTCAACACCCAAAAAGCAAAAAACCCGATTAAAAAAATGGGCAGAGAACAACAGGATGGAGGTAGAGGGTATTATGCTCACTGAAATAAGTTAGGCAGAGAAAGACAAATACCAAATGATTTCCTTCATTTGTGGAGTATAACAATGAAGCAAACCTGAAGGAACAAAATAGCAGAAGACTCACAGACTCCAAGAAGGGACTAGTGGTTACCAAATGGGAAGGGTTGGTGAGGGCGGGAGAAGGGGATTGTGTGGTATCATTATTAGTGCACATGGTGTGTGTGGGATCACAGGGAAGATAGTGTAGCACAGAGAAGACAAGTAGGGACTTTGTGGCATCTTACTACACTGATGGACAGTGACTGCAATGGGGTATGGGGCGGAGGACCCGATAATAAGAGTGAATGTCATAACCACATTGTTTTTCTTGTGTAACCTTCATAAGAGTGTACATCAATGAACATTAATAAAAAAAGAAAAAAAATAGGCAGATAATCCGAACAGACAGTTCTCCAAAGAAGAAATTCAGATGGCCAAAAGGCACATGAAAAGATGTTCCACATTGTTAATCATCAAATAAAAAGCACAATGAGATATCACCTCACACCAGTCAGGATGGCCACCATTGAAAAGACAAGCAACAACAAATACTGGCGAGGATGTGGAAGAGGGGAACCCTCCTACACTGCAGGAGGGAATGTATATTTGTTCAACCATTGTGGAAAGCAATATGGAGGTTCCTCAAAGAACTAAAAATAGAAATACCATTTGACCTGGGAATTCCATTCCTAGAAATTTACCCTAACAGGATTACACATTCAAAAAGACATATGTAGCCCTATGTTTATTGTGGAACTACTTACAATACCCAAGACATAGAAGCAACCTAAGTGTCCATCAGTAGATGAATGGATGAGGAAGATGTGGTACATATACACAATGAAATGTTATTCAGCCATAAGTAAAAAACAAATCCCACCATTTGCAACAACATGAATGGAGCTAAAGGGTGTTATGCTCAGTGAAATAAGCATAACTTCAATGTATGACATATTCAATATGACTTGTAATAATTAAAATAAAAATATAATCTACAATGAAGTTCCATTTTTTATCTTTCTGGTAAAATTGTGATAACTTCCTCTGCGGAAACAGGTTTGTACAACTTGATAGTATCTGTTTATATCCTGGACAAATGCATATAACTATTGGAACCAGGAAATCTATCTCCAGAAATTATCCTATAGATACTTGTCAATGTACAAAATAATGTATACATAGTGTATAAATGTCAGTTAACTGAGAATTAAGTAAGTTAGGATACATCTATATACTAGAATACTATGGAGTTTAAGGTTTTTTTTTTTTTTTTTTTAGTAAGAATAAAGAAGCACTTTATGTACTGACATGGGAAAGATTCCAAGTTATAATGTAAAGTTCTAAAAGGTAAGTATAGAACAGTGTATAAGAATGCTAACTTCTGTATACGAAAGATTTGGTATACACATTTAGTTGTATAACATATAAAATATCTTCAAAATGATATCCAAGCTGCTACTACAGATCAAATCTAAAATGCCATCAACTGTGAGATGTACAATTATTTTATGAACCAAAAAGAACAAGTGCCACCAAGAAAACCATGACATTTTCTTATCACACAGAATTATACTTTATTCTTCTTGAAGGACTGCTTTTATTAGATACCAGTATCATTTAATCACATAGGTGCTTACAGAAAAAGGAAAACATTTCTGAAATAAATTGACTGTTTTTGCATGTGAAATCTGCCTCTTCTGAATCATTTTCATTTGTTGATGATAAAATGATCATCTTCTGTGCCACTAAGATTTCTTTTTATAAAGCTCTATTGTGGGGAGGAGCCAAGATGGTGGCATGAGTAGGGCAGTGGAAATCTCCTCCCAAAACCATATATATTTTGGAAAATACAATAAATACAACTATTCCTAAAAGACAGACCAGTGGATACAGTACAATAGCCAGGCTACATCTACATTTGCGAGAACTCAGCACCTCACAAAGGGGGTAAGAGACAAGCCACGGCCTGGCATGACCCAAGCGCTCCCTCCACCCCAGCTCCCTGGAGGGAGGAGAGGAGTTGGAGTAGGGAGGGAGTGGAAGCCCAGTACTGCTAAATAACCAGCCCTAGTAATCTGCACCGGGAGCACAAACACATATTGCACGGTGTGCTGGATAGTAGGGAAACGGAAAAGTAAGATCTGTGAGTGGGTCCCTGCAGCCAGCTCCCCTGGGACAAAAGAAAAGTGAATGCTTTTTGAAAGCCTTAAAGGGACAGGGGCCTCACAGCTGGATGGAAGTGTCCTGGCACACTTGGCCCAGCAGGCTGGGAATCCTGAGGAACTTCAGGTGCCCCAGCCCCCTGGGTGGCAATGCACCCCTGAAGCCCCTCACTGCAATAAGCAGCCTGCCAGTCGTTCTCCCGAGCAGTGTGGCCCAGACACAGTGGCCGAGCAGCCAAGCCCACAGAAAACACCCAGAATCCCCTCCCGGCATGCAGCCACCTGGCCAAACACAGAGGCTGCTGCTGGCACACAGCTGCCTGGCGCAGGCAGAGGAAATGGGGGTAAGGCGCGAAGGGGCGCTGTTCTTGCAGGAGAGCACACCCGGCGTGCCTGTCACTCCCTGCAAGGCTCTGGGCTACCCTGAGGGCGACCCTGCCCCCGGCAGCTTAGGGGATTAATCTGGAGGCTGCTCCATGGATGCAGGTAACCAACACAGGCAGCAGAGAAGGGCAAGGCAACCAGCAAGCAGGAACGGACTTTGTTCTCCCAGCTGACACATGTGCTACCTGCCTAAAAAGCTCTATTATTGGCTCTGTGATTTTCTTCCAAGCTATGTGACAGGACATCCCTTTGCATGTATTTGCATGTATTTCAGTAATAAAACCAAATTTCCAAAACTTATCTAATTTTCAGAATTTTTTTTAGGTTCTACTAAGTAATCCTTCTCACACTTTATTGTGCATACAAATCTTTTAACATTTTGTCCAGTTTGCTTTTATCTATAGGTATCTGTAAGTATATGTTTTTCAAATGAAATAAATTATTTTTATTTACTCACAATTCTGTGAGTTTCGACAACTTATGCATAGAGTCTAGCGACCATCACGAAAATCAGGATACAGAATAGTTTTCTCATCCCCAGAAATTCCTTGTACTGTTCCTTTGTGGTCAAACCTCACCATTCCCTCTCATCTTAAATAACCACTGATCTATCCCTCATTCTTAGAAGTTTACCTTTTCCAGGTTGTCATATAAATGGAATTGTATAGTCTGGCTTCTCTCACTTAGCATAATGCAAGTGAGAAGCATCCATGTTGTGTGTATCATTTAGCAACTAAATTTAATTTTAAAAGGTAATCTTAGTTCGGAAGACTTTATTAAAAAATATTATTAGATGACCATCTTGATTAATCTTTTGATCAGGTACTAAAGGGATAAAGTCATTTAAATGCACCTTTTCATACACATGAGGTATATTATTAATGAAGAAACCAGACAGTCTTTTATATTATCTTTAATCTTAAGGGTAGAAACCATATTTTTAAGATGTTGTTACCTGAAGCAGGAAATTATTTAATTAAATGATTTCCTGTAAGTTCTATGCTCTAAGAAACAATAAGGAACATTCCCCTTTTAAAGATTTGAGTTACCACTAAATATAGTTAAATAAATAATGCAATACACTCCTACCTGATCATCATCTTCTACAACCACCAGGGTTAATTTATTCTTCTTAAAATCCAATCTGGTTATCTTGGGCCTGTAACAATGTAAGAGTAACAGCCAGATATCAAATAAATGACCTCTAAGTTCAAAAAACAATTTGTTGTTATTTCAAGCACATTATCATCTAACTTCTGAACTGAAAACTGGTAAGAGGGTAAACAATCTGCACTGTCCACCAAAAAAGTCTCCAATCTAAAAAACAGTTAACAGGAAAAAAAAATGTCAAACACAATGTTTCTAGCAAAATTGATGCTGCACATGTATCAGACATTAAAAATGTTAAGGAAAAAAGAAAATGAAGAAATCCATCCATATATATATATGTATTTCACAGGTCCCCCAACTATGTGCAAGAGATTATCCAGGCTTAGTGTTAAAGCAGCGGCAAAGACTATAAAGTTTTTTAAAAGACATAAAGGAAATTAAATGACTGATTAGGGCCTTCAACTCTATTTTCTGTATCAATTTCAGTAGGAAATACATCTTTAATCAAAAAAAAATTTTTTTTAACTTCATTTTAAGGCCCACTTGCCAACTCTATCTCCCACCTCTACTAAAACTAAACAACCTACCATATTTTAATTCTGTACTTCTATGAACTGTGAATGTCAAAACAATGACCTCTACTAAAACTAAACAACCTACCATATTTTAATTCTGTACTTCTATGAACTGTGAATGTCAAAACAATGTGACTCTCACTCTAATTTTTAAATAAGCATATAAAATAAACTGTAAAACAACTTGTTTACAAGAGCTGTACTAACACAAAAATAACTAAGTAAGTGTACTAGGTAGAGGAGGAGGGGAGGATCTAGCACTAAGTGTAACAACTACTCAAGTAATGCCTTCTAAGTGTCAGGTGCTCTTCTAAGTGTTTTACATATATTAATTCAATTGATTCTCACAACAACCTTAACACACAACACAAAAAGATACTTAACAACATAGAAGATCTTCTTCATCTCGATCTAGAGCATTCTCTGGCCAGTAAAGCATGTTCCACCTGCCCTCAGGGCAAGCTGGAAACATGGAAGAATTAACATTCAAGGACTGGGTAAATAAATTCCCCAGTGCCCTTATCCATCAAAGGACAATTATAAAGGTGTTTCAGTAATTTCTCAGAGAGTCCCTAGCAGGGACACCTAGATACAAAAATAAATTCTATCTTCAATGTTTTGAGGAGAAATATTTTTCAACCTTAAATTTCAATCTCAGCCCAATTATCAAGAAAATGTAAGAGAAGGATAAACCACTTTAAGGCATCCAAGGATACAAGTAATTTACCTCCTACACTCTTTTCTTAGGCAGTTACTTAAAGAAACTATTAGATAAAACAAAAGTAAAGAAAGAGGAAATATGGGAAAAAGACACAGGGTCCTAGCTGAGAAAGCAGGAAGAGGAACTCAATATAAAAGCTGTAAGAGCAGCCTGGAGAGCAAAAGAGCAAAGAGTTCCAATGGGAACAAAAGAATCTTTTAATGCAATCCTTGAGAATTTGAAAGAATTTAAGAAGACCAAATAACGTAATTTAAAGGGATGTGTAGGGTGTCAGATGTGGGAGAAGGGAGCCAAGAATTTTAGGGAAAACAAAAGCGTATCCAAAAAGGAAGTGTAATGCCAACTGTGATGTGAATTGTGAGGTTGATCAAAAAAAAGAGCACCATGAGAGAGTACTGCAGAACCAGCTCCACTGAGAGGTGTTTGGACATGGTTGCATGAGTGAAGTCCTTCACAGCAGAGAGATCTTCCAGGGACAGCAGCACAGGGCTACCACATAGAAGGGGAAGAGGGCAAGAGAACTCCCAGGAGAGGGGAATCAGAGAGGGGCTTATGTGTCTAGGCGATGGCATTCAGCAGCAAGGGTGGAGTCTCTGGGCCAGAACCATCCAAAGGGAAGCAGTGGTTTGGATTCTTTTATAGCTATAGCATCTGTCTTGTGGCTAGCAGATTCAGGTGCAGTTTGCAATGGGATATGCAAAGTAGGCAGGCAGGTTCTAAGTGGCTAGCAAAATACTTACTGGGCTACATACTTCAAGTAATTGGATGTGTAAGAATTTTAACTTGGTGCAAGCCAGCTTTAAGCTAACATCTTGGCATGCTGTGAAAAAGTAAACAACATATGGGCCAATGTACAGGGGCCACCTTCGTACATAATACCAGTACACTACTAAGCTCTGTACCAGTTCTGACACAGACATGACAATGTAAACACTACTTCCTGATTCTCAGCTTTTAGAACCAGGCAAACCAGAAGAACTTAATTTTGGTTATGAAAAGCCAAGTAAACCTATCCTTGATGTAAAAGTAAAATGCAAATATAACATAAAAGTATGGATGATAGGAGAAGTTGGGTCACAGAAAGGTAAGCACAGCTTAAAAGGAAGGGTAATGGTACCAATATCTTCCTCTTAGCAATGAGATTACTGTGGGACAAGAAATAACTAAAAAGAATGACATAACTACATGACAGGAGAATGTCCGTATGACACACATGTAGAAATGTAAAATATTTATATTAAGACATGTATTTTGACATACCTTGAAACCAATGGTAAATATGGATAGCAGAGTTTTAAAAGTTGCCCCTTGGGGGGGTAGTACTAAAGATGGGTAGAAATGTGATAAGAAATAAAAAAATGCTTTTCATTTATAACCTTTTCAGAACTATTTGATTTCCAAACTCTATTTTATGTATTAACTTGATATAAATGTTTCTGCTCATTAAAGAAACAAAATGATGATAAGTGTCTTTGACATTAACTGCTTACCAAAAAAATAAGCCAATTTTGGTCTCTCCTTCAAACACAAGGACTCCTGTAGGGGTTAGTCCCAAGCTATAGTCATTCCCATCTCTAGCCTAATTTAAGGAGAGCATAATATGTTAGCTTAGTTGCATAAACAGGTTTCATATTTCACACGTTTGATTTTATTTTCACAATGAATTATATTAATTATAATAATTATATAGGCTAATATTAATATGTAAGATGTTTTCAACAATTAGAATACCCCAAATAACATTTTCAGGAAATTTCATGCATATAAAACATTAAGTCTTAAGGTATGTTTTCATTGAAAATAGGCAGATTTACTTCCACTACAAAGAAAGCTCTTTCCAGATTCTTCCAATATTCTATTCACCACTTAAATCACCAATTTTGAAAAACACTGTTTCTGGGAAAATTCAGCAGTTTTATCAAAAAATAACTTACATCACTCAGCAGTTTTATCAAAAAATAACTTACATCACCAAACAGGCTGAAGTATATCTTACCAAAGTCTTCTCAAGCTATGAATTTTCAGTTTTGCCTCCTAAATTATTCTAATTTTTAAGGGCCTATTCAACTTAAGTCTAACAACAAGTTAAAAGCACAGACATACCTTTTTGAGATTTTGACTCTCTTCTTTCTTGTAATGAACCTTTATGTGAGATTTCCATCACTCAGTATCTCACCTAACCTTTATAATACAATCCAAAGTATCTAGTGCTAGCCTATGCAAACTCCATGTGCTCCCTCATCACCACCCTTAATCTTGAAGGAATAAGTTTCTTAAAAAACATCACAACACTGCACTTACTTTGACCACATGCATATCAACCCCATACATTTCTAGCCATTTGGCTTTATTCAGATAATTGGTTTCAGCTTGTGCTGGTGTCTGACCTCTGAAATTTAAAAACAATAATTCAAAAATAGTAAGTATAAATGAACTCTACAACAGGTATAGAAATAGAAGAAAACAAATACAGAATTATTATTGTGATGATGTTAAAGAAAGCATGATCAAATGTCAAGTACCTGTATTCCTTCCATTTCTCAAAAATAGCCAGCTCCATCTCTTCCGTCTGAATGGGCACAAACCTGAACTCTGATACAAGTTCAGGACTATGTTCAGCAAGATCATAGTCACCAAGTTCAGCTACAAAAGTTTCACAAAGTTATATTTTGTTAGTAAGTTTATGTCCTGCTGAATCTTTCTTTAAAACTCATTTTATTAGTAACTGTTTAAGAAGACTAGAAAGACTTTCTTAAACTACTAGGAATTCATAACACCCTGACTGTTCCCAAAAATAAACCTAGCATAAACTTGTAACTTAACTGTCTGTATGCACAAATCATATATTTGTGGTAGGTGGTATATTTTCAGTTAAATGTCTCTCTCTTAATTTATTAATGCCTTATAATGCTTAGCTTTCAAAAAACTCTTTCTAGATTTACGAAGAGAAGTAACTTTTGAATAAAAATATTTAGCAATCCTTGAGAAACTAATAGCCAGCACTATTAAAAATCTAATATGCACAGAAAATGACATCATATATCACTGTAGATATAGTGTCTGTCCTTCAGAAAATTTATTTTTACTTCTGTTTTTTGTATCAACATTACTTACTATAATACACAAAGATGTATGCTTAATATGAGCAATTACACATAATAAAGGAACACTAAAGTTGTATTGATCCCTGTGACTTCCAAGGTAATTCTCGATTTTAGCAAGTAGAATCTTGTGACTACTACTGAAAATCTAAGCATACTAAAGGAAATAATGAGAAAGTTTACTACCTTTGTTAATTTTAAATTAGTCTGCCTAGAGTACATATATGTTTCATCATGATTTTTCCTTTTAGCCAATAAAATCAAAAAACCTAATCTTTAAAAAATACATATATTCAGTAGTCCTGTCTTAATTCTTTTATTGCTCCTCATTATTTTCAGTGTTCACAACTTTCTTTCTTCTGAATTAGTAATGAAGTCCCAAGTCTGAGTCTTTGAAGAATATTACATACACACTTCAGATTTTAGCTGTTAAGAAAAAGATCATAAATTTAAAAGAGGACCTTCAGGAAACTTTAAATTATTAATCCTAGAGAAATAACAGATAAAAATGACTAAAAAATATTTCAGGACACAGTAGGAAAAGAACTGTACAATGCATAAACATTTATGTACTCAACTGTGGTCATCTGAACAGAGTTTGGGAAAGAAGGGAGAATAGTGACTGATTCTAATCTTCTATGCTTTAGAAATTTTTCCTTCAAAATAATATTTTACTTATATTAAAAAATTAAAGTATTTTCATTTTAATAAAAAATCCAGCTGTGGATTAATAAAAGAATCATCTTGAGATAATAACTCATTATTTATTGAGCATCTACTCTACACACTGGACATACTACAGTTAATCTGTCATTTAACTTCATGATGACCTTGGAAAATATTTACTGCACCCACTTTATTGCTGAAGAAATTGCTCTTTTGTGTGGACCACAATGTCTTTAAGAAACAACAAACCAAATCTGCATAATGTTGTCCAGGATATGTACTAAAATGGTAGTAAAGAAAAACTGAACTTGAGAATGTGAGGAAAAGCTAATAAAAATTATTCTAATAAAATATAAAACCACAAAAGAGAAAAAAGGAGCTCATTTTATGAAGATGGGAGTAATACTTCAGTAAATTTAATTCTTAAGGACCTTAAGAATTAGTAGGGCTTGGTAAACTTAGAAATAGGACAAAGAGATGCATAAGACATGAGGTTTGGAAGAATCATAAAAATAATGGAGCAATGGATAAGAAAGTAGGAAAGAACTTCTATTTAGAAAAAACATTTAAGTGAGGTTATAGATACAATAGAGCTGCATGCTTGAATCAAGTATTTATTTAGCAAGCACTTAGAATAGTGTTCTGTGAAAACACAAAAATGTTTAAAAATCATATTTTCAAAAAGCATATACACTGACTGTCATGAAACTTCCACAATGAGAAACAGATAAAATACAGGACACAATAAATGGTGTAACTCAGATATTGAAAATGACAGCTTTTCAGTAGATCTGAGAGTTTTAGAATTAACAACCTCATACAAATTAATAAAATACAAAAAGTGTATTTCAAGAAAAGAAGCTTGCAATTATACACTTATCATTGCAATGCTAGAGAGGCATAGCATTTCCCAGCTGTTATCTATTTAATATTGTGCAGATTCGAAAACAGCTTTCAATTTGTAGACAGACTAGGGTAGTAGATGAAGGCAGGTAGGTTAATTCATACTTGCAGCAAATTTTTGAAGTACAGAAATTTCCTCCAGTCACCAATCCCTCCATCAACAGGAAAATATACTTTCTTAAGTAGTGGAAAGAAATAGTAAGCAAAAATACTAGGTTTACTACAAAACATAAAAATTTATTCTTGTAAAGTATATATATAATTGGAAAAAATTACTGATCTTAGAGGGACTGAAGATAAATATAGAATCACAAAAAAAGTTAATTAATTTCTTGATAATCATTAAATATTACTGTTATTGATATTCCAATAGATAGAGATAGAGATACTCCAACAGATTGTTTCTTTCCATTTTGTGAACAAGGACTGAAATTATAGTTTTCCTAAGGTGTCACTTTCTCAGAAAAAAATATATGTTTAACAACATTTGATCAGTGTAACAAGGTAAACAGCGAGTTTTTCATTAATCTTCTATATTGGAGAACATTTTTTTTAATTCTTAAAATAACCATAAGAGGGGAAGAGGAAAAAAGATGGCAGATAGGAAAGCAAGGCAGAAACCTCCCCCTCACACACAGACACCAAGGAAGCAACTACAGCAAATACTAGTAACCCTGAAAGACCTGAAGCCTGCAGAATAGACCATCATCACCTGGTGAAGAAGAGAAGACCACACAGAGAAGGGTAAAGTGTCAGAGCCATGGTGGAGTAAGGCTCCAACCATTCCCCCATCCCACCGCACAGGTGGGTGGAAGAGGAATAGAGTGGGGAGAGGATAGGCTTTCAGGAACTCTGCGCACCTGGCCCTGGAGATCTGCTCTGGAAACACAAGTCCATTGGGATATGATGATTATCTGGGCTGGACACCAGGGAGAGCTGGAATACTCTGGGAGCCTTGGAAACAGCCACTGTTACAGAGGAGAGGCATGCTCCACCAGTCCCACTAAGACCCAAGAAGCATCAATTTAAAAGATTTCCAAGCAGAGAGTGGGGCAAGAGTTTCATGGAGCTCTCTCAACAAGACGAAAGGCAGGTGTATGACACTTCCCCAGCCCTGCCTCAGGCAGTCGCAGAAGCCCCAAATGCTTTATCCCCCTAACTTCCCCACATGAACCACCAGCACGCCCGTCCACTTGACACAGCAGCAGTGTCAGACTTTGTTGCCTGGCAAGCAGAGGGAGGCTTTCCCAGGTCCTCAGCACTGTATTAGCCCAATCAAACAGGCGCCTGCAGGAGACAGCTCCAAGTGTTCCTTCCTCCTCACAGGCGGCCCAGCAGGTTTACGTGCCACTGCGCACTCACACACCTGTGAACTCAGGCACCCACATGACTGCCACTAACTGTAACTGCCCTGCCTACCTCCAGAGCCAGGCAGCACCGCCATCACTGCAGGCAGGCAGTGGGCATCCCTGACAACAATGATCCCAGCAGAAGCCACTGCTCTGATTACAGAGGGCCAGCAGAGGCATGATAGACTGAGACAGAGCACTGCCAGCAGACAGAAAGGCAGCCCTGCGCAGAGCCCACCAACAGCAACTGATGTTCAACTGCAAAGGAAAACCAGGCACTGGAGAGTAAAGAGTCTTCAGTCTGGGCACCACAGGACACTTTCTTCATAAAGCCATTGCTCTCTAGCCCAAGAAGCACAGAAGATCCAAATACATAGGAAAAAACACAGAAGCCTTGAAAAATGAGGAGGCAAACGAATATGTTTCAAACAAAAGGACAGGATAAGACACCAGAAAGAGGGCTAAATGAAATGGAGACTACCAATCTTCTTGATTAAGATTTCAAAGTAAAAGTCACAAATATGATCACTAATGAGGAAAAGTATTGAGGATCTCAGGGAGAACTTCAACAAAGAGAAGAGCTGAACAATACAGTAATTTAACTGAAATAAACAATGGAGGGAATAAATAATAGACTGTTGCAAGTAGAGGAGACAGTGAAATGGAAATCAGAGAACAGGGACACAACAAAGCTGAGGAACAGAGAAGGAAAAAAAAGTCTCTAGGAATGAAAGAATGATAAGGGAGCTGTGTGACAAACTCCAAACAAAGCAGTGTCTGAATAGTGGTAACAAAAGGAGAAGAGAGAGACAAAGGGGTAGAAAGTCTCTCTGAAGATATAATTACTGAAAACTTCCCCAATCTGGTGAAGGAAACAGGCACTCAGGTCATGGAAGTATAGAGAGCCCCTAACAAAAGGAACCTCAGGGAGACAACACCAAGATATATAGTAATTAAAATAACAAAGATTAAGGAAAAGGAGAAGGTACTGAAAGCAGCCAGATAAAAAAGATTATACTTATAAGGGAAACTCCATTAGGCTATAAGCAGACTTTTCAGTAGAAACCTTACAGGTCAGAAGGGAGTGGCATGAAACATTTAATGTATTCAAACAGAAGGACCTTCAACCAAAAATCCTCTACCCAGCAAGATTTTCATTCAAATTTGAAGGAGAGATTAAACACTTCACAGATAAACAAAGGCTTAAGGAATTTACAACCACTAATGGGCATTACAGGGTATGCTAAAGGGACTTCTGTAGAAAGAAATGTTCTTAAGCCTAAATAATTTTCAACAGTGCAAATAAACCCACAGTAAAGTAGACCAATTACTTACCGACCAAGTATGACATTAAAACAAAAGTAGTAAAACCAACTAAACACATAATCAAAGTACACATAAAAAATACAGATTAAGACATCTAAGACATGGAGTATGGAAGAGGAAGGAAAAAAAGTACTTTTAGACTGTGTTTGAAATAAAGCAGTCATTAACTTAATAGAGACTGTTATAGAGTTAGGAAGCTACCCCTGAACCTTATAACAACAAACCCAAGCCTTTAAAAGACACAAAAAATTTAAAAAGAGAAATCCAATCATAGCACTAGAGAAAACCATCAATAACAAAACAAGAGTATAAGGGAAGAAGAAAGGAATAGAGAGGATCTACAAAAACACCAAGAAAACAACTAATAAATGGCAATAAGTACATACCTATCAATAGTTAACTTAAACATAAATGGTATGAATGCACCAATCAAAAGACACAGGGTGGCAGAATGGATAAAGAAACAAGACCCATCCATATGCTGCCTATAAGAGACTCACTTCAGACCCAAAGACATACACGGACTGAGTAAGGGATGGAAAAAGATATTCTATGCAAACAACAGAAGCAGTAATTATATAAGACAAAATAGACTTCAAAACAAAGAAAGTACTGAGACAAGGATATTATGTAATGATAAAGGGGTCAGTCCAACAAGAGGATATAACCATTATAAATATCTATGCACCCAACACAGGAAATCTAAATATGTAAAATAAATTCAGAATTAAAGGGGGAAAGAGACTGTAAGCCATGCAAAAACCCTAGCCAGACTTATCAAGAAAAAAAGAGTGCACAAATAAACAAAATCAGAAACAAAAAAGAAATAGTTATAATGGATACCACAGAAACACAAAGAATTATTAAGAATTCTATGAAAAATTATATACAGTAAGTTGGACCACCTAGAAGAAATGGATCAATTCCTAGAAAAGTACAACCTTCCAAGACTGAACAAGGAGAAAAACAGAAAATCTGAACAGATCAATTACCAGCAATGAAACTGAACTGGTAATCAAGACTCCCACCAAAAAAGGTCCAGGACCAGATGGCTTCAGGGCTGAATTCCACCAAACTGAGCTACTACCCATCCTTCTTAAAGTACTCTGAAAAGTGAAAGAGGCGGGAATATTTCCAAACTTATTATGAGGCCAGCATCACTGTAATATCAAAATGAAACAAAGATGGAAACTTTCAGATGAGTACCCCTGATGAACATAGATGCAAATATCCTCAACAAAATATTAGCAAACTGAATTCAAAAATACATCAAAAGGATCATCCATCACAACCAAGTGGGATTTATTCAAGGGATGCAAGAATGGTACAATATTCATATATCAATCAATATCATATACCACATTAACAAAAGGATAAAAACGACATGATAGTATCAACAGATGCTGAAAAATCATTTAACAAAATTCAACATCCATTCATGACAAAAACTCTTTAACACAATGGGTACAGAGGGTACGTACCTCAGCATAATAAAGGCCATATGTGACAAACCCCCAACTAACATTACACCCAATGGTGAGAAGCTGAAAGCTTTTTCACTAAGATTGGGAATAAGACAAGGATGTCTACTCTCACCACTTTTATTCAACATAGTACTGGAGGTCCTAGCCATGACAATCAGACAACACACAGAGATAAAAGGCATACAAATTGGGAAGGAAGAAGTTAAAATTGTCACTATTTGCAGATGACATGGTATTATATATAGAAAGCCCCAAAGACTCCACCAAAAAAAACCTATTAGCATAACTGAATTCAGCAAAATTGCAGGATAAAAAATTAATACACAGATACCTGTTGTATTTCTATATACTAACAGTGACCTAGCAGAAAGAGAAATCAGGAAAACAATCTCATTTATGATTGCATCAAAAAGAATAAAATACCTAGGAATAAACCTAACCAAGGAAGTGAAAGACCTGTACTCTGAACAAACAATAAGACACTCATAAGAGAAATTAAAGATGACACAAATAAATGGAAATCTGTTCCATGATCATGGATAGGAAGGATCAATATTGTCAAAATGGCCATCCTGCCAAAGGAAATTACTGATCAATGCAAGCTGTATCAAAATACCAACAGCATTTTTCAATAGTGAAGGAAATAATCTTAAAATTCATTTGGAACCACAAAAGATCCCAAACAGACAAAGCAATCCTGAGAAAGAACAAAGCTGAGGGTATTATGCAACCTGACTTCAAGCTGTACTACAAAGCTACAGTAATCAAAACAGTATGGTATTGGAACAAGAACAGATCCATTAGTCAATGGATCAGAAGAGCGAGCCCAGATATAAAACCATACATATATGGTCAATGAATATACAATAAAGAAGCCATGAATATACAATAGGGAAATGACAGCCTCTTCAATAACTGGTGTTGGGAGAACCAAGCTACACGCAAGAGAATGAAACTGGATTACCATCTAACTCCATATACAAGAGTAAACTCAAAATAGATCAAATACCTGAATGTAAGTCATGAAACCATAAAACTCTTAGAAGAAAACATAGCCAAAAATCTCTTGAAAGTAAGCATGAGAAATTTTTTCCTGGACACATCTCCTCAGGCAAGAGACACAAAATCAAAAATGAACAAGTGGGACTACATCAAACTAAAAAGCTTCTGTACAGAAAAGGACACCATCGGCAGGACAAAAGGAGAACCTACAGTATGGGAGAATACATTCATAAATGATTTATCCAATCAGAGGTTAATATCCAAAATATATAAAAAACTCATATCCCTCAACACCAGAAAAACAAATAACCTGATTGAAAAATTTGCAGAATACCTGAAAAGACATTTCTCTGAAGAAGAAATACAGATGGCCAACAGTCACAGGAAGAAATGCTCCACATCGCTAATCATCAAGGAAATGCAAATTTAAATCACAATGAGATATCACCTCACTCCAGTTAGAATGGCCAGTATCCAAAAGACAAGAAATAACAAGTGTTGACAAGAAATAAAACTGCTGGTGGGAATGTAAATTGGTGTAGCCACTCTGGAACGCAGTGTGGAGATTCCTCAGAAACTAAAAATAGAAATAATTTCTATTCTATTCTAGAATAGAACCCAGTAATTTCACTTCTAGAAATTTAACTGAGAAAACAAAATCCCTGATTCCAAAAGATATATGCACCTCTATGTTTATCACTGCATTATGTACAGTAGCCAAGATATGGAGCAACCAAAGAGTCCACCAATAGATGAATGAATAAAGGTGTGGTATATATACACAATAGAGTATTAATCAGCCATAAAAACAAAAGAAATTCTGCCACTTGCAACAACATAGATCAAGAGCACATTATGCTCAGTGAAAAACCCAGGTGAAGAAAGACAAATACAGTAAGATTTCACTTATTTGTGTACTATAAAAACAAAACAAAACAAAATGAAACGAAAATGAGTAGACTCACAAACACTGAGAAGTGACTGGTGTTTACCAGGGCAGGGTTTTGGGGTCGGTGGGTAGGTGGTGTGAGGGGGATAAAGTGATACAAAAATTTTTGATCATGGTAGTACAGCATGGTGAATATAGTCAGTGGTTCTGTAACATCTTCCTATGTTGATAGATAGTAACTGACCTAGTGAGGGTGAGGATTTAATAATATGGGTAATTGTTGAAATACTGTGTTGTACATTTGAAACCAATATAGGATTGTATAATAAATTCAGCAGAAAATAACCATTCAGAGCTTTGAAAAACACTGTATCTCTCTTTCATGGATTCATTTTTTAAAATAAGAGCAAAAGGAAAGCAAACCATGTGCCTATTGCAACAGTTTATTCATATATCCCTGCATTCTTTTTAAAGAAAAAAATTAGCTGAGAGTCCAATTATAACACATACTGAATTATCAAGTGGACTGCAATTTTTGCTTGAAAACACTATAGATGTAAAGGAAGCAAATGAAGTAAAAGGGAAGAAAAAGAAGGCAATGTTTTAACACGATTGAAAGTAAAAGTCAAAGATGGATACTGACACACGTTTAGACAAACAGTGATGTTCTTTTCTTGCACAATACTTTGAATCTTTTGAAATTTTTTAGAAATGCACAGAAAAGAATTATACTTCACATTTAGTGGCCACCAGAGGAACTGCTTACCTTGCAGAGTAAAGGCTGCCAACTGCACTGCGGTACCAAAGGGACAGTCTAATCTGAGCCCAAAACACAAATCTGTTAGATAATTTCACAACCTTCATTTTAAGATAAATGAAAATAACACATTATGGTGACATTTCTTTTTCATAATTAACAATGAACTTATTTTTCAAAATCATTTTCAAGTACTTAAGAAAATGTGGTTTACCTTAAATAACTAATACTCACTTTCCACTGAGAATATCTTGTTTTAACTGAAGAACAAATAAATACCTAAGAAAAGTAAAAGGTACAAATTTATAAACAATCTATTCTGAAAAATAATCCTACCCTTCTAATTGGAGAGGAAACATATCTAGGTATAGAACTTTACCCACAACAGTCTATATAGGAAAAACAATGTGGAAAAAGGGGCAATATGCATCAGGAAGGTGGTAGCATGTCCACAAGGCAAAAGCAAGGACAACAGGCCACAGGATGAAGCACAGCAACTTTAAGAGACAAGGTATAAAGCATATTACCGAGAATGAGCCCTGTGATCTAACTTTATTCTGACAACCTTGTAAATGGACTCAATAACTCAAGTTTTCTACTTAACGGTGTGTGTGCATAAGTCATGGATTTACCATGTAGAGTCAATGAATAAATACCAACCAAAGAAGGCAGGAGAAAATAAAAATAAGCATATATATAACCTACTGAAAGTTTATTCAGAACTATCAAACCACATCAGGATCTAACATTTTTCATCAATCAACAGTGTTTTTTAATATGTGAAGTCAGGAACCAACTTGAATAAACTCTGAGTTAGACAGATCAACTTGGACATTAATAAAGCATAATAAGGCAGTGTACTGAAACACACCAGCCCAGTGTAAAATCCATGAGTTGATAATCATACTTTAAAAGGAACTCACTAATTACCTTTGGAAGATGCTAGGAAATCAATTCTTTATTTTGAAAACAGTTAAAGGAGAAGAATCCTACACTTAAAAAAGTGTCCCAAATGAAATTCTGTTACCTAAGGTTGTTACCAGGGGCAAGGAATGCACTATACTAGCTGTCTATAAACTGAAAGGAATTATAAAGACAATCTTCCAACATCTTTAAGCTAGCCTTACCAAATCTTTACCACTGTACAACTCTACATAGTGGTCTTACCGGGTTAGCTCTTCACGAAGATTATTGGGTTCTGAGGAATAAAATTTAACTCGAAGATGCAGACAATATGGTGAACCAACTGCCATTAAAGAAAAAACAAAAGCTTTAACTTTTTATAAAGCTATTTAAATAGTAAGAATTTTCAGCCAGTAAATTTGTCAAAAATCTACTGAAGTGGGTAGAGAGGATAAGAGGTTACTGTGGCAGTATTTCAGGTTGCTTGTATAAACCTAACACAAAAAGATCAGTAGACTTTTTTTTTTTTTAATGTACCAACCATCATACAGAACTATCACAATTATCTGTCCTCCCGAGAATAGATAAGCTCAAAATTAATTCTAACAGTTTAGGGCCAAATGCATCAAATAAAAGTCTTGACTATACAGTCTAACAGCCCTAAACACCTGCTGAGTTGTATTTTTTGAGAGCACAGAAGAATGCCTATGTTATTAATTGCTCATGGCAAACCCTCCAGCACACTTTCCAATTCACTTGTCCTACTTCACTAACCTATTCTCAGTGGTCCCACTATTTTGTAAAGACAAGAGTTAAAAGTGCCCTGAAATCTCTGTTACTACCGGGGACAAGCTGAATTATGGACTGGATACTGGGATTTTCCCCTATTGCTAGGAATAATACTGCCATTTTATGTGAATTGCTTCATTTCATTATTCTTAATTTTTTAAAGTTACAGCCTTAAGATTAGTCTCAAAGTATTTTCTAGAGCAGGGCAGATGCCAAGCAGGAAAACTCCAACATAAGCAAATAAAAGTTAAGCATCTCATGGGAAATTAATCTTATTTCCAAGCTGCAAGCCGTTCTCACGGAAAGAAGTGGTAAGAAACTTGAATCTAGATTACTATTAACCCTATGTAACTTAGGATAGGTCAGTATATCACACTTAAGTTATTTTTAGGAAGTAGTTATGTTAAGAAATTCATGTGAAACATGGTTTCTTATGTCCTTAATATTAGGAATCAGAAGTTCTAATACATAACTATATATAATTTACATTTTTTCCACAGTTTTGCAACACTTACTTTTTACTTGCTTTTTGATGCTCTTTGTACCATCTAACCAATGCTGAAAACAAAAATAAAAATTCAAATGTTAACCAGATGACAGAACTTAACATTTTCATTACTAAAAGTTAATTTTCATCATGCTTTTGTTGATAACCACAAGGAAATTACTTCACAAGAAAAAACAAAAGTGAGATAAAAAAGATGGGGGAGGGTTATCTGCTCAGTATCCACAGCAAGCTTATGACACACATGAGCAAAAGACCTAAAACCAGACAGATGACTTCTTAAAACATTTATTCTGCTCCCTCACAGTAACAAGGATGATATTCTAAATCTTGCCCATACTTTTCCTGTTTACTAAGAAGTAACTCTTTCAAAACTGTTAACATTAGACAGAAGAAAAGTGTTCTCATATTCTAATGCTGGGTTCCTTCTTATAATAAAAATGTTAAAATTTATCAACAGAAATTAGGTGAAATAACAATGTCATTTAAATTTTACAAAACAGATACTGCTCAGAAGTAGTATTTTTTGAAAGAGCATGCATAATAAATTAGACCTTTCTCAAAAACCAAGGTCCTACTTATTAAATGAAGTCATCTTTGCCCCTTCACTTTACAAATAAAAAATGTTAACATTCTGACTAGCAGACTTCTGCTTTCAAGAGTAACAGCCAATTTCTGTAACTTCTCTACTCTGAAATGTCCGTAACACAAACAGACCTAAGAACCAATTCCAGAGACTTCCACTGATAAACTATTCCAACTCACTTCTCATTATTAATCCCTTTACACCACCAAGTCCTAAGGATGACAGCATACACTCATCCCACTGAGATATCCGTGGTTCTGTTCGCTCCAGCATGCTTACAATTCCAAGCACCCTAGAAATGAAAGGAAGGCTTTTCTCCTTGTGCTACCTATTCCCAGTGCTACCGAATTCAGTTTCATAAGTCCAGGTAGGTGAAGAGTAGGTAAACAAGGCTGCATTGTTAAAAGACTTGTAACTGTTTACTTTTCTTGCCAATTTACCTAGCCTGTTCCCTCTATTCTCTCCCAAGACCCAAAAGTGAAATTTGCAGAACTACCAAGGCACCCACAAAGTCCCTCTGTATAGTGAAATAAGATGCTTAGGAAACATTTCAAAAGGAAATTAATACTGTGCAATACTTTCTCTGCATTTCAAGTATATGGGCTACTTTATCAGCCATCTCGTATGTTTAATAAATTCAGTTGGGCAGCCAGCCACTTTTAAGCATCCTTCAGTCTAGCAACTGTTCAGTTTTATACATCCCTCCATGAATAGAATGCTAGGTGGCCAGCCAGTAGGCAGAACACAATTTAATCTATTAGCAGAAAGATTTCAACCTAGGACAGCAAAAAGTCCATCCATCATGGCGAAACCCATCAACCCAGTATCCAAAACTCCCAAACTTAATTGTGCTAAATACCTATTGCCTGATGCTAGTCATAGACTAAGTAAAAGATAAAAGTAGTTTCCATGCCCCAGATTATTTTATCCCCACAACCACAGACCTGGGAGTTACCCGATCTTCAGGTTCTATATTAAACAATTACACTGCATTGAATTAACAAATGTATGGGTAGTCTCATGTAGCCCTGGTTTAAGATACTCTCATACACCATGAGTGAAATGAGCACAACCACTCAAGGCCATTTGACTGTACCTTAAAAACAATTGTGTCTTGCTTTCCGAGGGCAGCGACGGAGTCTTTGGAGCTGCCCCATGAGCTGAAGTTGTCGTGTCGTGTCCCCTCCTCTTCCACTTACCATTGCAAACAATAAAGGCCGTTGGTATGTAAAAACAAACAGGCAAACAAACAAACAACTGTGTCTTTGACTCAGTAATTCTACATCTAGAAATCATTAAGGATGTGTGCAGATTCACCTACAAGGAATATACATCAGAGAAAGCTAAGGTAATCTATATATCCAACAACAGTGAACTGGTTAAATAAAGTATTTCAATATGATAGGACACCATGCAGCAGTTAAAAAGAAGGAAAGCAAATACTTAAGGATCTGGAAAATTATTTGTAATATATTGTTAAAACTTTAAGAGACAGGTTGTAAAATATAAATTGTTTTGCCAAAATGTACACATTTGTGTATATAAACTAAATGTGCATTTTCTTTTGGACGGAGACAGTAACAGAGATGCTACCTTTCAGGTGTTTGAGATTGAAAGGAAAGGAGCGACACATAGCAGCAATTCACCGGAGAGTTCCGCTTTATTAGGGAAAGGTGCTGGGTTATATAGGAAGGGGCATAGGGTGATTGTGGTGTTACTTCTACGGGGCTGGTGGCTGTTGGCTAGGTGCTGGGATTGGGAGGGGGGCGAGAGGTGATTGGGCTTCAGGTGGCGCCGGCGGGAACCGAGGACCCCGAAAAGAAGCCGGAAGTTTGCCATCTTACTGGTGGGGACCCTTCAGAGATTCCTAGAGATAGTTTTTCTTCTTTGTGCTTTCCTGTATTTTCTGCTTATTCTACAATGAGCACATATTACTTAAAACAGTAATCACAGACTCCCCTTATTTTAATTTTTACATATTTATATGGTTTAGTTCTTTTGTAAAATTAAAAGGTATATAGTCAACCAACCCCTCCAAACCCTGCAATAGGCCACCCCACCATGTACCAGTTTTGACCACTACATGCACCCCCTCCCAGATGTTACTGGCTTCTGATTCCTTCCAACGTTTCTTCAAACAGAGAAGGAAAATAATCAATCTGTGTGTGTATGTGTATATGTTGGTAAGGAGTAAAGAACATTAACAATGAATGGAAAATCAACAGGCTAAATATAAATTTTTATAAACTTTGAGAAATATGAAGAAGGAAGCACTAAGAAAGACCATTCACTATTTCAAAAATAACCTATAGTCTTGCTTAGATAGTTTTAAGTTAAATTTCTTTCTGTTAAAGAATATCTAGGGCTAGTCTCATACATACACCTTTAATATCCAACTTTTACACTACTATTCTAAGCATATTAAACATAAAATCATCCCAATAAGGATAAAGGATCAGAGTTTTCTTCTAAGTAGGCATTTTAGTCTCTTTTCTACCTGTGTGTAATAACAGCTTTAATATCTATGCTCACTTAAGATGACCCAAAACTCAGATAAAGCATCAAGCACATTTTAAAGTGAAACTGAGGAGCTTGGGGAGTTGTTGGTGACATTCCTCTAGGAAAGGTCTGAGTTCATGTTTGCATATTCTCAAGTCTGTTTTCTTTCAACTCCTCCACATTCCAAGCCCAGGGACTGGAAAATACAGAGCTCAGAGACAGGCACTGATAGTATTTTCCTTGAATCAGGGTCTTTAGGAGTTGAGCTTAAATTACTTTAGAAGATAAAGATGAGAGCATGCAGATACAGATTCTTGAATGCTTAGTGTGAAACTAACATGGTTCACCTTCTCAATGGTACTTTAAAAAGGAAACAAGCTCCTTTCTAATTTCCTACATTTAAAGTTTGATTGATAAACTTAGATATCAAAGGATGTGGAAAGACACATTTCTTTCCATCCTACTGAGCTAGGAATGAAAGAACAAGTATTTACTTGTGTGCCTTAAAATATAAATAATATATAATCACAAATACAAACAAGATATAACTAAACCAATCACCTAGGGAACTTCCAAAACTCTAGCATAAACACATCTTCATCTTAGACCCAAAAGCCGAGTAATCTGTACACAGCTCTTCCAATGAATGATTTCTGACTTCTAATTACCTACATGGCTCTACTGAAGAAACACACCACTACTTTCGCTCAAGAAGCAGAGCTTAAGGCAGAGAAATGTTAACTATCTTTCAAAACAATTGCCTCTGCAAAAAAGATTTCTCTTGTGAGAAGAAAGGCTTATCCTCTGAGTTAAAGGATTAATTTAAAGCAAATTTTAACATTGTAAACAACAAAATGTTAAAAATATATGCTATGAAAACAGGACCAATACATAGCAATGATGTAATCTAACTGAAAACACTTCAATTTAGTTTAGATTCCATTATAAATTAATCCTGGGTGATTACCTTTTTGACACAAGTGTTATAAGACATTCCAAATAAAGGACTGGATGAGCCATTAAAATATACTTGCCACTGTCCCTTTCTGTGTATTACTAACATCATCTCTGAGGATTCTTTAAGGCTAAATTCACAGAGGCAGTGCAGGTAGGTGATTTAGGTTATGTATTCACTCTCCAGAGACAGAGCACATGCATAACCCACATATATACAATATAAATATACATACATAGGCCAAAGTTCAGTAGGTTTATCCAAGGTGTTCTGGAGGTAGAAAGAAGGGATTTAACTGGCCATATAAGAATTCTAGACTACAGTTATTATCTGCACAACCTCAGATGAGTGAGGGTCAGCAAACCAAACTGACATCTCATCACATTATGCCTACGTACCTCAAACAACTGAATTATAAAATTTGAACAAGAACTACCTTTTCTCTTAGCTCAATGATTTTGGATTAGCTATTGAGGGGATCCACTACTGTAGCCTTCGGGTGTGTACCTGTAAAACATTTTACCCAGTATTCCACTTGAGAAGTGTTTTCCAGCCACCCACTTTGGACCTAGCACCTTCACTTCCATTTCCATTCAGTGCTGTCCTTAAACTAAATGTCATAAACTTCAACTAATCACTCATTTAATTTCTTCTGTGGATAAAGATTTCAATTCCAGTCTTTTTGGAATATAGTTTCACCAAGTATATGATAAGGCAGTAACAGCATAATTAAGGGTTAAACTGTTAGAATTGGCACACATCATACTAACTCACATTCTGTTGCTAAAAGAAGTCACATGGCCAAGTCTGGTACCAGCTGAGCAAGACAATCCCCTTACAGCAAAGGAAGCGATGCCACGATACTCAACATATGATGAAATATATGAACTGATACTGAATCATCCTCCATTTTTGATAATAAACTCCACCTGATTATAATGTATTATTTATATTTTTAATAGGCTGCTGAATATAGTATGCTGATATTTTATTTACGATTTTCACATTGAGAA